GCAAGTCTCCTGCCTCAGCCTCCCAGGTAGCTGGGACCACAGGCGCCCACCACAATGCCCAGTTGTTATTTATTTATTTTTTTTTTTATTGAAGCCGTCATTGTTGTTTGGCGGGCCCAGGCTAGATTCGAACCTGCCACCTTAGGTGTATGTGGCTGGTGCCTTAGCCACTTGAGCCACAGGCGCCGAGTCTTTGCATGGCTTTAAAAGCATCATTATTTGACCCCTACTGTCTCTCCAGGCTCAGTTACACCTCTCCCTCACTCCCTCTCCCTCCCTCTCCCTCCCTCTCTCTTTCTCTGAGCTCCTCCCCATTGGCTTCCTTTCAAGTCTCAATCTGCACTCCCCTGCATACTTTCTATGTGCCATCCCTCCTCCCCGTGCGCTTTTGTTTAGTTAATTCTGACCCTTTCTCCCTGTAAGCTCCATGAAATAAGAGACTATGGCTTTTTGGTTCATCATTATATCCCAAACTCTTAAACTTAACCCCAGAACACAGTAGAATATAATGATGCCAGTTATCTAAACTGAAGAACACTTTGCCAACACGAAGGATGGGTTAGCCAGGCAGCAGCTTCCTGAGCCACTTGACCCTGACATCAGGCTCAGCCCCATTTCCAGCCCTGAGTGAGTTTTCCATCCTATAGACATTCCAAGTGGTCTTAAATTCTGACAGCTTTTTAAAATCACCTGTGACTGATTTTATTTCCCACCCCGAGAGTTCTGATTTCGTTTCCTGAGTGTGTGTTCCATGCCTGGCGTTGGTCACATGTTGCTTCACAGCGTCAGACATAATCACCTGTTTCCTTTCTGTGTCAGATTCATGCCCTGACATGCACATGTCCAAGATGCACAGAGGAAGGAGTGGCCCTGCCACAGGGGCAGGAAGGCTTCCTGCAGACAGAGATATTCAATATTTGAGCTCGTTCTGCAACGAAAAGGAAGGGTTTACCAAGTAGACAAGAAAGAGACAAGACCTGTCAGGCAGGAAGACCACTAGGAAAACTGCAAAAAGAATTTGGCCTTGTACAGAAGGGGTTCAAAGATTCTGGAGCATTATTATCTTTTTTAATATATTGAATCCTAAAGAATGTATGAATGGAAAAAGTGGGCCAAAAGGACTCCTCTCATCTAACAGTATGATTGTCTACCACACACAGAGCCCAGGGACCCACTCAGCCAAACTTCTCCAGTCTCCCCAGGCACCAAAAAGTGAGTCATCCCTGGAATTCCCCTGCCACCAGCTGTCACAAAATCCTCCAAGGATGTGGGCAGAGTCTCCATGGACTCTGGGACAGCAGAAACAAGAGGAGGATGGTAGAGGAAAACAGAAAGAGGCCACTCCCTCAAGGCTCAGAAAGATTATAAGTCCTCCCATTTCTAACGTGGGGTGGGGTATGTCCCTGCTACCTCCCCTGCCAGTCTCACCCCCATGGCTGCACTGAAGCTACTCTTCTGGAAGAACTCCCCACATATCTCTACTTTCTAGGTATGTCCAAACAAACCAACAACCACACACACCATCACAGTGACAGCAACTGTTATCCAGACTAAGACACCTGAAATGTCTGTTAGGGAGGAATGAGTTAAGAACTTGGGGAGCGTTAAGGAAAGAGAAAGCCACATATTATGAAAGGTCAGCCTCACCAGACTTAAATGATTTCAAGAGTACAGCAGAGTCTGGAGAGCAGGGAGTGGGTCAAGACAAAGAGTCCAAACAGAGCTAGCAGGAATAGACTCAGAGAACCCTCCAGAAAGCTGGAATCCTAAGAAATCAAAGCTAGAACACCACCGGCTCTTATTACTCCAAGTGTGGTGCCCAAACCCCCAGCATCACTATCACCTGGGAGCTTGTTGGAAATGCAGACTCGTAGTCCCCAGTCCTACTGAGGCAGATAGCCCATTTAGTAAGATTCCCCAGGTGATTCCTATGCACATTAAAGGTTGAGAAGCACTGCTTGGGAGTCCTAACTCAGCTGCAAAGCAGAAGAGAATCACCTGCAACTTTTTTCAACTAGATTCCTAAGCCCCACTCTGGATTAATTGTTTAAAATTTCTGAACACCGTGTATAGCATTTTTTTTTCATAAAACTCTATCAGTAATTTTAATGACACCAGCCCATATAATACAGGACAGTAGACTGCAAACTGGGATCTGGTCTGAAGTCCAAGTGTATTCTTGGCTTCCCACAGGAAAGAATTCAAGAGTAAGCTGATGGAGCAAACCAAAAACAAGTTTACTGAAGTAACAAAGAGGCAAAAAGAAGGCTTGCTCCATAGATGGAGCAGTGCAACATGGAGTAGAACTTTGTGAGTTTCCAAGGTCTTATTTTATGCCTTCTTTTTAATTTTATGTTAAGCAGAGAGGAGATTATTTATAAGATTTCTGGGAAAGGGACCCAGGACCATATTGGGTAATTTCCAGGAGTTGCCATGGCATTTGTAAACTGTCGCGGTGCCGGTTGGAGTTACAATACATTATAACTAGTGTGTAATGAGCAGTGAGGGTGGCCTGAGGTTGTTCTTCATGGCTGCCTGGGTTCTAGCTGATTTGGGCCAGTTCCTCTCTGTCTCCTGTTTTATCGAGACCTTGTTCAGGTCTTATGACTCCTTCTCAAGCAGGGCTTGCCATTTCCCTGTCTCACACAGAGTAGAATGGGAACCACTGACCTGGTCCAAGCTATTCAACCTAAAGATGAGAGGACTGAAGAAGACAGTGGCAACAAGCAGCTTTGTATTCCATTAAGAGATCTGATTAGGGCCTCAGTCTAGAGACAGCATTTAAGGAAAGAGCTAGAAGATCCGAGTTTAAACCCCAGCTACCCCTTCATAGCTGAGTATCTCCAGACAAGTCTTTTCCCTTCTCAGAACTCAGTTTTCTTACCTTCGAGGAAAGATACCCTCAACCAGAGAAGGGAAGGGACTCGAAGCAGATAGAGCTGAGCTCAAAAGAGGCAGGTGGGAAGTGGAGCCCTGCCACCCACCAGCTGTACCATTAAGAGAAAACACTGAGGCAGCAGCAGCAGGAGCAGAAACAAAGGCCAGAAGCTAACAGGTATTGATTTAAGCTGGGCCAGGCTGTGCTCAGTAACGTTTATAAGTGATAGAAACTCAAGCACATGAATGGAAACTCTTTCTTCAGTTAGAGAAGCAGGTCCTGACACAGGCTTCTCCCATGACTGCTCCTCACATTTCTGGAGAAGGAAGAATTATCCAGGTACAGTGACCAACTGTCCAGGTTTGCCCGGGACTGAAGAGTTTCCTGGGACACAGGACTTTCCAGGTTAAATGGAGAAACTTAGTCACTCTGATCCCAGGGGTGAGGATGGGTGGAGTAAGTCTCTTTGTTGCAAAGTGAGATGTATAAAAGGCTTCAGCTAGTTCCAGTGAACATGTAAGGGAACCGCTGTCATTCTTCCACAAGGATTCACTGAGCACCTATTATGAGCCAGACCATGACAGGTGTTTGGCAATAACAGTGAAAGACGTACTGTCTCCAACCTCATAGAACTTTACAGCCAAGAGGAAGATACACCTCACTATCGTATCATGACATTGAATCCAACTATTTTGCAAAGGGAAACTGAGGCTAAGGAAGGTGAAGTGACCTGCCTGAAGTTACACACCAGAAAGTCATGAAACCTATGCTGAAAACCAAATCCACATGCTGCCACCGTCCATACACTTAAATAATATTTATTGAACACTAGTTACGTAGCAGATCCTGGGGATACAAATACAAATTCGGAGGCCATTCTTAGAGTGTGGCAATACTCAATAAATCTTTGATAAAAGAATATTGAATCAAAGAGCTCAAAGCCCACAGGGGAAGTAGACATGTAAAAGATATTTGCAGTAGGATAGGGGAGAGCTATGACAGAGATAGAACAGTCACCCCTTATCTGTGATTTTGCTTTCTGCAGTCTCAGTTACCTCCAGTCTGAAAATATTGTAATTTATAATTTATAAATTAAACTAATTTATAGTGTCTAATAAATAAATTATAATTTATTTATAAATGTATCAATGTGTCTAATTTATAAATTAAACTTTATTATAGGTATGTGTATATAGGTATATGTAGAGTCCAGTACTCTCTGTGGTTTCAGGCATCCAATGGGCATCTTGGAACATATCCCCCACAGATAACAGGGTCCTACTGTATGCTCCAGCACAGCAGGGCATAGACAAGAGATAAAGTTCATTGTCAGGGTAGTGTCTAACATTGGAGGTAGTTTTTGTCCAATACAGAAGGTGGAAATAAATTCTAGGCAGAGGAAACAAATGCAAAGGCACAGCAGTGTGAGGTAATGTTGAATTTTCTGGGAATTATGCTACTTTTGACTACCTTAAAGTTGCTTTCTTCCAACTTAAGCATTCAGCTTAACTCAATCAAATTCAATTCACTGGACCTTTATTCAGTGCCTGAGATGCTTTGCATGCATTAACTCATTGAATCCTTGCAGCCTTTCCCCCCATTATACAGATGAGCAAATTGAGGCTCAGGAATACATTTGCATTCTCTGTTCTTTCCACTAGAGATACCCGGCCACTCCCTTCCCATGCCTTACTGCAATGGAAAGATGACCTCCCAGCAGACCTCAAGACCCTTTGGATCAGGAGACTCTCTCTGCCCATTTCCCTGTGTCTTTTCTTCCCCGGAAAACTAGAGAGAAGGCATACAAAATCATGAAGTTTTAAACCTTGCCTAGGTACTAAATATCATTCCATTTATCATTTAACAAATCTTTACTGAATACCAGCTATGTGCCGGGCTGTGTTCTTAGTACTGTGGATACAAAAGTGAGTAAGACAGGCAAGATTCCTCCCCCATCAACATTACAGGGCAGCAACTTCTCAGAGTTGGAAACAAAGGTTTTAAGAGGTTGTGTGGCTTGTCCAAGGTCACGTGGCAATTTTGTTGCATAGTTAGGTTGAAGCTCAAGTCCACCTGACTCCCTGTACCGTGCGTTCTCCTCCACGACGATCATGGCCTCTGCCTCTCCTCAGTCTCGGACCTGCAGGATGATCCCAGAAAACCTCACTGAGGCCAGGGAGGCACCTGCTGAGTTCATCCTCTTGGGCATAACGGATCGCTGGGACCTGCGTGTGACCCTCTTCCTGATCGTCCTGCCCATCTACCTGGGGAGCCTGCTGGGAAACGTGGGCATGGTGCTGCTGATCAGCCTGGATGTCCGGCTCCACACACCCATGTACTTCTTCCTGGCCAACCTCTCCCTGCTGGATGCCTGCTATTCCTCAGCCATAGGCCCCAAGATGCTAGTGGACCTTCTGCTGCCCTGTGCCACCATCCCTTACGTAGCCTGCGCCCTCCAGATGTTTGTCTTTGCAGGGCTGGCTGATGCCGAGTGCTGCCTGTTGGCAGCCATGGCCTATGACCGCTATGTGGCCATCGGAAACCCACTTCTCTATACAACAGCTATGTCCAGGCGTCTATGCCTGGCCTTGCTGGGGGCATCGGGCCTGGGTGGGGCGGTGAGTGCCTTTGTGCACACAGCCTTCACCTTCCGCCTGAGCTTCTGCCACTCCCGGGAGATCAATAGCTTCTTCTGTGATATCCCTCCGCTACTGGCCATCTCGTGCAATGACACCAGTCTCAATGAACTCCTCCTCTTTGCTGTCTGTGGCTTTATCCAGACAACCACCGTGGCGGCTATTGCCGTGTCTTACGGTTTCATTGCCGTGGCTGTGATCCGCATGCGCTCAGCCGAGGGCCGTCGGCGAGCAGCCTCCACCTGTGGGTCCCACCTCACCGCTGTGGCCATGTTATATGGAACACTCATTTTCATGTACCTGCGTCCCAGCTCCAGCTATGCCCTGGACACTGACAAGATGGCCTCTGTGTTCTACACCCTTGTCATTCCAGCTCTTAACCCGCTCATCTACGGCCTCCGCAACAAGGAAGTCAAGGAGGCCCTCAGGAGGACTTGGGGTCGATTCTGCCTCCGAGAGCAGGGACAGCAGTGACTGGTCCAAAGAGGCTGGTTAGGGCGGACTATGAAGACAGGAGGAGGACATGCTTCATGGCTCCTGTCACTGTGGATAAAGACAGATGTTCCTCTAGCCTGGATGTCTCTTGTCATTGTTTAAGGGGCAAAAAGGGTGGGGAGTAAGAGGAGGCAGGAACCTAGGGGTGGAGTGAGACCTAGAGCCAGAATGAAGACTGGGTTAGCGTTGCCATTAAGCTGCCTTAAGTTCCTCAGAGGGTAAAAGTTCCTGCCTGTTAGGAGGTGAAAACACATAGGTTTATTCACCAACTGCGCTTATAAGAGGCTGATCCCTGGAAACACCAAGTGAGAGCTGTGTTGGTTCCAAGTTTTCCTAGATTCTTGTCCTTGTAAGTTTCTTTATGGCCACCAATTCTGTTTCTGCTCCCTTAATCAGGAGATTGTCTTCAGAACCCACTCACAACAGAGAATGGGACTATATCTGATGAAAGGAACATCCTTCCCTGTGGCCTATGCCCAGGAACATGGCTCAAATACATCACAACATACACAACTTCTAAAATCCCAACAGTTGACCAGTCCAGCCATATAATAGAGATTAGGAAAGAGTCAGAATTATATTTATGACTGGAATAGGGTCAGGATTAGGGTTCATGGTATGGCTAATGATAGAGTTGGGATTAGGGTAGGTTAGAGTTAGATAATAGAATTAAGAAGCAATCACGCAAATTTGGGATTTAATTAAAATTATGTAAATTTGGGGTGGCGACTGTGGCTTAGTGAGTAGGGCACTGGCACCATATACCGAGGGTGGTGGGTTCAAACCCGGCCCCAGCCAAACTGCAACAAAAAAATGGCTGGGCATTGTGGTGGGCACCTATAGTCCCAGCTACTTGGGAGGCTGAGGCAAGAGAATCGCCTAAGCCCAAGAGCTGGAGGTTGCTGTGAGCTGTGACACCACAGCACTCTACTAGGGCAACAAAGTGAGACTCTGTCCTAAAAAAAAAAAGCAAATTTTATGATTTGGATTGGTTTTTATTAGTAATAAATTCAGGTAAACTTGAATTTTGTTAGAAATATTAGAAATACTTTAGGGTTAATGTTAGAATGCAGAACTAAATGAGATTGAAGTTTAGCTTTCATTTGTACTGTTAAATTAAATTCTAATTAGAGGTTAGTTTATATTAAATTTAAGTTGGTGTGTGGGGAATGTTTGTTATAAATTTAAGCCACAGCCTTGTTATTATTACAGTTAAGCTAAGATCAGAACTACATGTGAGTTAGACATAAGAATTTTTTTTTTTTTTGAGACAGAGTCTTACTTAGTCACCCTGAGGTTGAGTGCTATGACAGTGTAGCTCACAGTAATCTCAAATTCTTGGGCTCAAGCAATCCTCTTGCTCAGCCTCATGAGTAGCTGGGACCACAAGCACCTGCCACAATGCTCAGCTATTTCTATTTTTTTCTTTTTTAGAGATGAGGTCTCACTCTGGTTGAGGCTGGTCTCAAACTCCTGAGTGCAAGCCATCCACCTACCTCAGCCTCCCAAAGTGCTAGGATTACAAGCATGAGCCACCACACCCAGCCGATAAGAGTATTTTAATTAGCCAGGTATTGTGGCAGCTGTAGTCCCAGCTACTCAGAAGGCTGAGGCAAGGGGATCATTTGAACCTAAGAGTTTGAGGTTGCTGTGGGCTAGGACACCACAGTACTGTACTGAGGGCTCAGAGTGAGACTCTGTCTCGAAAAAAAAAAAAAAGATTATTTTAAATAACTAATTGACATGTTTTAGGTCACTTTAAGATTTAGTTGGGGTTATGGATAGTGGTTAATGTTTCTTAAAGCTTAAGGGTAGGTGTTGGTAATTGGTGGGATTAAGTTTCATTCAGAGTTATGAGCATGCTTGGATAGCACATGGTCGAGCAGGGTTAATATCATGATGGCCTTGTGTTAAGATCACATCATCCAGGGGCAGGGTTGGGGCTAGGAGAAGGAATGCCACAACCTTGACCTCTTGGGCAACACCAACAGCCGTGCCCCAAGTCTTGGATCATGGTGGATTCCCCAGACCCAGAGCCCCAGGAGTTCACAATTTTGACAGATTTCTCTGGTGCCCATGACCCATTTATACAAAGGCAAGGCCCAAGACACTGCATTCTTCCTGGTAAGCCTCTCCACACAGAAGCAGACCCTGAAAGTTACAGGCAGGAAATTCCAAGAAGAGGCAGAGCATGGCCAGAGCAAGTTTTAGCCCCTGCCCCACCCCCCTGCAGTTTCCCTGTTTACAGCTCAGGGACTCAAGCCTCTTCCTAGGGCCCCAGACTAGGGCTGGCCTCACACTTTTGTACTCTGCCTTCAAAGAGAAATCAGGCACCTGGCACTTAGCCTCCAGGAAGACTGAGGACTCCTCTCTGGCTCCCTAGGAAGGTGATGCCACTTGTTACCAGGGCCAGGACCCTCTCTCTTAGCAACTATGGTCTTCCTGGATGTCCCAGACTAATGGAGAGAAGAATGTGGATAAGACCATCTCCTTAAATCTTAGAGAGCTTTATACACACAGGTTTCCTGATAGAGAAACCATCTTGTCCTGGTTTGCCCAGAACTGTCCCAGTTTTAAAACTCCAAGCTCAATATCCAAGATCACCCTCAGTCCTAGGCAAATCAAGATGGCTGGTCACCCAATTTCCTGATGAACTGGCAACTGGCATGGTGAGTGCAGAGGGACAATATCCCCAACTCAGCACATTTGACAAAGGCTTAAACAGATTTAACACCTCCCTTCTCCTGTCATATAATCCTTTCCCACTTCCCCAACTCCTCTTACCCGCTATCAATATAACAACTCAGATACTACCACCAAAGTGGGAGGCCTATTAGAAGAGCTGGCAGCTGTCAAACTGCAAGTGTAAGGTTCATCCCCAAGTCAGTGACGTTTAAACTCAATGAGAGCCTCCGTGGTCCTTTCTCCTTTGTGTGAGTTCTTAGTCTCCTGTGACATACCACACTCACCATGATCAGGAGAAAGTTTCCAGAGACATATGGCCCCTTCCATCACCTTGGTCCCATAGGATGTCCATGGGTCCCTTTCATGTGTTTAGCATCCATGGAGCGGCCAGATACAATAGTTACATAAATCCTAGGAATCAACTACAGGAAACACAAAGTAGTTTCAGGCTATTATATGTGGGTCTACTTGACAGATAAGAAAGCAAAGAAGGGCAAGTGTCAGTAGCCCAGTGGGTAGGGCGCTGGCCACACACACCAAGGCTGGCGGGTTCAAACCCAGCCTGGGCCAGCTAAAACACAATGACAACTGCAACAACAACAACAAAAATAACCAGACACTGTGGCGGGCACCTGTAGTCCCAGCTATTTGGGAAGCTGAGGTTAAAGAATCACTTAAGCCTAAGAGTTTGAGGTTGCTGGGAGCTGTGATGCCACGGTACTCTACCGAGGGCGCCATAGTAAAACTCCATCTCAAAAAAAAAAAAAAGGAAAAAAAAAGAAAGCAAACAAGAGTGAACAAGGAGAGATTGGAAGACAGCAACAAATCCCAACCCAGAGAATGAAGGAAAATAAACAGACCCCTACTCCTAAAGTGAGATACTTGGTAGAACTTGCCTAATTCTGAGTATTTCCCTTTAACCATTTACTAAGATAGTTTGAGAGGGCAGGAGCAGGTTTGGAGTGAGGAATATGGGGGCACTCATCATACAAAATAAGTTGGGCCCTGCAGCGTGGGTTGAAATTGAGGGGAAGGGTCATTCCATTGTGGGTACCAAGTGTACTCAAAGGCATGGAAGTGGAACGAGCTTAGCATGTACAGAAGACCAGATTAACTGGCTAGAGAGGGGTGTGTTGGGAATGAAGTGGGGGTAAGTTTGCAGAATGAGGATCTAGGAATGAGAAGAACGCCCCATTGCCTGGATATTAGGTAGGAAATTTGGACTTTATTCAATAGACAATAAGGAGTCATTGGAAATTCGTATATTCAAAATGACTCTTTATGGTTGTCCCAAGAATATGTCAGACAAAGCCATTCCCTCCTAGAATGCGATATACAGGCTCAATCCTCTCATGCTACAACACACACACAAAAACACATACGCCCTCAATACAGACCCAATCTCCTATCGAAATACTCACTGCCCAAGAAACACCCATAGGTCTGGCCACCCACACAGACACAGACGCACCTGCACACTCAGACACCCATCCAAGCTCAAGGACACATGCAGTTGCAGAGGGACACAACCACTCTCACAAACACGGAGGCACAATCCCTCCCACATTTCTGTTCTTTACAGGTAGCCACCAGCTGCAGCTGAAGTAACAGCAAGGTTGTCCCCAGAAGCTATTGCTACAAAGCCTGGGCTCCTTGGTCACTCTGCTTAGGTTACTCAGACTGACCCTTTTCTCTGATCTTCACAAGGTAGGGATGGAAGAGTAGCAGGTATGCCATGCACAGCTCCTGAATGTCCCTTGAGTTGGCAGCAGCACCAACCACCCCTCCTCCATCAAAGTGGGCCCTGGAGGGAAAGGGTAACAAGCCCCAGGGCTAAGCTGCCTCATGCCCCAGAGATGAAGGCCAGGGGAGGGCAGGTGTTCCCTCTGGGGAGAAGCTAAAGTGTTCCCAAGGTCCTAAACCCCATAAGTATGGCCATCACTCCCTCCCCAGACTCTCCAGTGACAAGCTCCTGGCCCCTGCTCTGATTTCCTCCTATGATGTGCAGATGCCACAGGATACACTTGGGGACAAGGGGCCAGGCTGCAGAGGGTATAGATCTGTCTTCCTGGGTGTGACAATGTGCATGAGTCATATGTGTGAGTATGAGAACAGGCATTATTTGTGAGGCGCTGATTGTGTGTTACCCTCACTGTACAATGGTTCTGTTGGGGGGTGGGCAGTGGCAGCTTGTGTGTGGATATGCCCCTCCAGGGTTCATGATGATGAACCGATGTGAGAGCAGCCACGTACATGGCAGTGTGAGGCTGTGCACAAGGATGTGATTGCTTGATCAATAAGAGGATTAGGTGTCACTGGGCATGATGAATGGGCACCAGGTAGAGTGCTCACACAGAGCAGGTGGTCAAGGAAGGCATGAATGTGCATGGCGGGTTACAGCAGCAGTGTATGCTGCCATATGTCTCCACGCAGGGGAGGATGCAAATGATTGTCACCCTCTGGCCCCAGTGCTCTTTTGTTATTCCGTTTCTCCTTGCATTTATGTGTATGATCTGGGTCTTTGAACCTTATGGTTATGTTTGTCTGCTTACTTAGGTGTGAGTGAAAGTACTGGGTCCCCATTTCTGCATGATTGATTGTTCCTGTGAATTTGCAGAGACCAGCTTCAGTCTACACATGTCTGCATGCCTGTGTGTGTATGTGTGTACAGATTAACATTTCTGCAAACAGTTCAGTATACTTGAATGTTTACTGGGAACAATTTAGACACAGACCAAAAGTGATTTTATAAACAGGCTTTCCCTCCAACTGATCCTCTTCCCCTCTTGGAAAGTGGGACAGGATTGGAAGTTTGCGAAAAAATGCTCTACAGGGAACCAAATCCAGAAGACTCTTCTTAACCAATGGAGGAATAAAGGAAGACAGTTTGGTGGGAAGGCCCTTCATTTGATTTTTAATTGTTATAAATAGAAAAGAAATTAGGAGGGCATGTCCTTCAGATGTGTTCTCAGTATTGTCTTCAACAAACCTGTATCCTAAAATCCCTCTCCCTTTAAGACCCCTTCTTAGAGAATTGTCCAAGATTTCTGTATTAAAATACAGACAGGAAAAAATGGGAGCATCCAAACCAAGCTGCCCTGTCCTTCAGCGTTCAGTCTCTACCCCTCAGCAGACATGTCTGTCTGTTGGTACAAGTTTCCCACAAAAGGATGTGCATTTTCCTGGTGCTCAGTGCAGAATTTGGGGGCGGAATGTCTTGTGGGAACATGGGCAGTCCTTCAGTTCTTGTTTTTTTAATTTTTTTACAAGTCTGAAAATATCTTTATTCTTTTCTCACACTTGATTAATATTTTGGCTTAGTATAGAATTCCAAGTTCAAAACCTTTTTTCTTCAGAATTTGAAGATATCGTTCAACTGTTGTTCTTTTGTTTACTATTGATGATGAACATTTGATGGCAGTGTGATTACCTAAATATCACTAGTTCATTGTACCTTATGTCCTTGGTAGGTATTGGATTCTTCTCTTTGCACCAATGTGCTAAAATTTCACTTTTTGTGTCCAGCTGTTGTTGGTT